CTGTGCTTATGGGAGATTCTAAAGAAAAATTGCGAAGGTTAGTGGATGAGTTTGGGAGTGTGTGTAAAGGTAGAAAGTTGAAAGTGAACATAGAAAAGAGTAAGGTGATGAGGGTATCAAATGATTTAGATAAAGAAAAATTGGATATCAAATTGGGGAGGAGGAATATGGAAGAAGTGAATGTTTTCAGATATTTGGGAGTTGATGTGTCAGCAGATGGATTTATGAAGGATGAGGTTAATCATAGAATTGATGAAGGAAAAAAGGCAAGTGGTGCGTTGAGGTATATGTGGAGACAAAAAATGTTATCTATGGAGGCAAAGAAGGAAATGTATGAAAGTATAGTAGTACCAACACTCATATATGGGTGTGAAGCTTGGGTTGTAAATGCTGCAGTGAGGAGACGGTTGGATGCAGTGGAGATGTCATGTCTAAGGGCAATGTGTGGTGTAAATATTATGCAGAAAATTCGGAGTGTAGAAATTAGGTGTAGAGTTAATAAAAGTATTAGTGAGAGGGCTGAAGAGGGGTTGTTGAGGTGGTTTGGTCATTTAGAGAGAATGGAGGGCCTTGGACTTCAGCAAGCGTGCGTGAGCATGTTAGATAGGAGTGAATGGAGACAAATAGCATTTGGGACCTGACGAGCTGTTGGAGTGTGAGCAGAGTAATATTTAGTGAAGGGATTCAGGGAAACCGGTTGTTTTTGTATACCCAGACTTGAGTCCTGGAAATGGGAAGTACAATGCCTGCACTTTAAAAGAGGGGTTTGGGATATTGGCAGTTTGGAGGGATAGGTTGTGTATCTTTATATGTATATGCTTCCAAACTGTTGTATTCTGAGCACCTCTGCAAAAACAGTGATTATGTGTGAGTGAGGTGAAAGTGTTGAATGATGATGAAAGTATTTTCTTTAGAATCTCCCATAAGCACAGTATCATCAGCAAAAAGTAACTGTGTCAATTCCCATTTTGAATTTGATTCCCCATAATTTAATCCCAACCCTCTCCCGAACACCCTAGCATTTACTTCTTTTACAACCCCATCTGTAAATATATTAAACAACCATGGTGACATTACACATCCCTGTCTAAGACCTACTTTTACCGGGAAGTAATCTCCCTCTCTTCTACACACACTAATATACGTATATATATATATATATATATATATATATATATATATATATAATATATATAATATATATATATATATATACATATATACATATATATATATATATATATATACACATACATATATATATATATATATATATATACACATACATACATACATACATACATACATACATACATAGATACATACATACATACATACATACATACACACACACACACACACACACACACACACACACACACACACACACACACACACACACACACACACACACACACACACACACACACACACGTACGTACGTGTGCTCTTTTCCTAGACTTCTCAGACACAATAAGTCAGTCGTACCTTTAGAAGTTTCTCCACAGACAAATAGCTAGTGCTTGTGTGATGACTGCCAGATAGTTCAGTTAACTATATATTAATAGACTGCCCTTCTATCAAAGAGAGTGCTGAATTCACTTTTGAAATATTAATTACCCTGACACCAATTCTGACTGCCCTCTTTGAAGAATCCCACTTTTAATGCAGTTTCTTTCTCAACCAACCTATAGCACCAACTATGATGATCATTTTTTCACCCTCACTAATCCACACCTTCCCTCATCCCAACACTTGCAACTTAATCCACCATAGCACTGTTTGACTCATATGGGTTTAGTGCTTGTTTTCAAATTTACTAATGTGAGTTTATGGCAGATAATCACATTTTGAGTTGTACTTTTCTATAGCTTGAATAATAATAGTTTATGATTCAGAAGGGTTTAACACTTTCTTGTGAATTAATAAAATAGCTTAAATACATAATGAAATTTTATTTAAGATACAGTACTGAACTAAGGGTATTGTGTATAGTATATTAATGCTCAGAACTAGTGAGGTTTGTGAGATGAACAAATTTTTATTTGACTTGCAGGAAAAAGTTTACCATCCTGACCTGTGTCAGCCTGCTGCATTGAACATTCAACCCTCATGCTATTGTTGAAACAAGTGTGAAACATTCTACACTTATGTATGAAACATATACTCTCGTGTAAGAAACATAATGCGCTCATACAAGAAACATCTTACACTCGTATGTGAAATATTCAACAATGTTTGTGAAACATTTTTCCCTTATATTAATTCTCTGCTCATTAGGGTATTTTTTTTATAAAAGACTGTGTGGTAATTAGTGGATATTTTTATATGTATTACAGTCAAATTACTCGGCGAAATATAACAAAGTTTATGGTTTTTATCATTCTCATATGAATAAATTTTTGTAAGATTTGTGTTTTTAATGCCTGTTGCACTGTCGTCTGTACAAGCCATAATTATTTTGTCAGTATTTCAGTGCCTTTAAATAAATAAATTTATGTATGTACAGTAATTCCTTTTATGCAAAGAAAATATTTCTTTATTGTTCATTAAATTAAATACAGAATAATGGGGCTGAAAACACTTTATTATCCTAATTAGATATTCTGATATTTGTTTGCAGTATCAGTAAAACTGGATACATATTTTGTTTAAATTATATTGAATTGGAGTTGGTTATTGTGGGCTTAACTAAATTTATTAGTGGTATTATAGCTTGTTGTAGTGGAAAGTTTGAGTCACGCTTAATTTAATCAGGAGATACACAAGATGCTTTGTATCAAACACTGTAAACACCTTGTATACTGGTAACTGATTAGTGTAATGTATAATATATTATTATATAATATGTTATATGTATATATATATATGTATTATAAACATAACTAATGTGACCCAGAAACAAATGAAGACAGAAGTAAAAAACAGAAAAGAAGGAGAGTATACTTCGGCTTCTAACTGAGAACTTCAGTTGTGTCTGGAAGACTGGGTGAGAGGGTGAGGTGCTGTTTATAGTTTATATCATTTGAGAGAGAGAGATAAACTTGCCTGTAATTTATTTTATATATTTTTTATTTTAGCATAAAATATATCATAATACAGCAACTTTTTTTCATAAGCAGTAAATAGTTATGCAGTAATCATATTCAAATCTACACATAACTAGAAATTAATACTGTACATATTTTCTCTTCACTGGGAGTAAAGTGAAGTTAATACTGAGCATCATCAAAGGATGATCTGTAGATGAGGAAAGGGAATTATGGTAGTTTGTTTTGGCATTACAGTAAAGTAGTTTATATATAGCACACAATGACGAGATTAAAAATATTTAGTGCACTATACCTAAATCTCAAGGGCATTTCTTGTATTTCTCCAGATATGTGTTTAGCATTAACTACTGGAAAATTTATTCAGTCCCTCTATCTCCTACATTCTCTTGTTACCCCCCATTCTCCCCCCTCCCTATCTTGTGCAATATTCAGACTAATGATTTTTTAAAAAATCATCTTTTAAATAATATAAAGTACTGTACTGTTTCTATAATAAATGAATTGTGAATAAAAGAGAGATTTCTCTATTACTTTGCTCATTGTTTTTTAACTTAATGCAAATACAGTGGACCCCTGACTTACGATCAGCTCCAACTCAAACAATTATGTAAGTGTATTTTTGTAAGTGCTTTTGTAAGTGTATTTTTGTAAGTGCTTTTGTAAGTGTATTTTTGGGGGTCTGAAACAGACTAATCTAATTTACAATATTCCTTATGGAAACAAATTCGTTTGGTAATGGCACCCGAACAGACTTCTGGAATGAATTAATATCATAAGTCGGGGGTCCACTGTATAAGGTACTGTACATGGTATTAATGTTATGTTTTCTATATTTTAATATTACTGCAAGTGATAAGTTATAGTAATTTAGTTATTGATTACTGAAAAGTTAGTAATATTATCTAATTATCCTGAATTTGATGCCTTGCATGTGTGTTTCTTTTAACTGAAAAACTATGTATGTATATCTTACATGGAATGCTCTTATTTTGCTCTTTGTTAAGATTGTGTACTGCACAGAAAACTTCAGTATTGACCAGTACTATATTAACCACATGAATTTTATTCTAAACAGTGATAATTGTGGCTGTATAATGGCTCCTTAGGTATAGAGTAACTAGAAAAACTGAACTTGTCATATGGTTATTCATATATCCAAGCTTTTTATACAAATTTTATACAAATCATGGGATCAAGTGACCAGAAATGGCTATACGACTAGAATTTTCTAATATACGTATTTTATTATATGAGTAAACTTGACAGTATTAGATTAATTATATATGAATAGGAAGATGTTTAGTTACCCTTGAGCCTGTAGCGCTTGACTATTTGTAGCATCATATTTTGTGTTGACCATATTTTGTGTTTTGTAATGGCCAAGCCAGTCGTCTCACATTTTCATTAAGTATTTTAGTAGGGTTAGTGTTTCAGGTAATATTTCTAGAGCCTTCACTCTGAGTAGACATCCTGCAGTTGGTTAGCACATTCCTGGTCACTTACAAATATATAAATTATATCCAGGGTTTTTATAAACTAAAATGCATATACAATAATACAAATAATTGAAAATTATTTTTTTTTAGCCTTTGTGCACTAAATGGTAAACAAAATGTTAGAGATTTACATAAGAGAAAAGGAATCTTTCCATACTTGAAAAAAGGATAATGCAGACAAGACAAAGATACAGAACTTGAAATATTTTATTTGAAATTTTTTTTAGTCTTTACAAAAGAAAAAAAGAAAATGGTTAACTTGTCACCTAATATGTTGTTTATTAATTATGAAGTAATCAGATGGATAATAAACTTGTTTGACAATGAGGAGGACACATTGAGTGTGGGGAATGCAAGAAGAACATGTAGTATTATTGGCATAATAGAGATGTGAAGGTAACTCGCTCGGGTGGGGGGAAGCAGGTCTCTACAGGTTGTCTTCTACCAACAGACAGAAGATGCTGCTGAAGCTGCTGAAATTGACAGGAAGATCAAAGAGGTGAGTTTTAAATGTTTCTTGTTTTCCATGATGAAATTTTTTGTATTTTATACTAGTTTGCTCTTAACAACAATGGGTACATTAATGTATTTCATTGTATGATACAGCGAAACAATTTAATCTTTTCTTTTTAAACTAAAAATATTTAGACATAAAAATTTATCTATAGTAGGAAAAAATGTAGTTTGATAGTTTGATTAGATTTTTATGAAAGCTAATACAGTAGCTGCATGTGATAGTTATTATTCTAATAGTATACTATACTTAAGCATCTGCAAGAGGCGTATGCCAAGAGAAATCTGGGAGATAAAGTAGTGAATTTATGTACAGTGGAAAAAGGAGGAGGAATGCTTCTTAAACATCCATGCTTCCTGTACTACAGTAGTAATTGAACATTGTTTTATTTTGAATCAGTTGTCACCATAGTAGTTATATAACAGACTTCCTATCACATTTGAGGATGTATTGTGGTATACAAATTGTGGATCCATGGACCAACCTTGTAAATAACAGTTTATTATTGTATGAAAGTCATGGTTCCAGGAGCTAGGCTAACATACAATTAGCTGTAGACAGTTATAGGTATCACTTTTCTCATGATCTGGTTCCACACCAGGTCTCCCAAATCCGATAATACCTCGCATATGTTGTAGATAACTAAACTCGGCTACAGATTATGAGTAATAAGACATAAAACACACTTCATGGATTGGTGAACTATCTTAGACACTTTAGCTATTGTATCTAGTAATAGGTTTTAAAATTTGAAAATGAAATTTAACTCCATACTTGTTGAATCTTAATACAGTGGAACCTCAAATATCGAACTGCTCCCAACTCAACAAATTATGTAAGTGTATTTTTGTAAATGCTTTTATAAGTGTATTTTTGAGGGTCTGAAATGAACTAATCTAATTTACATTATTACTGATGGGAATAAATTTGTTTGGTAACAGGCACTCGAACAGCCGTCTGGAACGAAGAAAGTTCAGTATTTGAGGTTCCACTGTAGTAGCATAATTCTTCAAGAATGAGGTGGGGGGAGGGCCTTGATTCTGGTGAAAGGCTCTTAATCCAAGGAATTGGGGCTTCCCTTCCTTTGGGTCAAACCTGATTACTTCTCTCTCCCTATGTGTTGTATGACGCCTGGGGATTTAGCGCTTTCCTATGAATATACTGTAGCAACATAAAAATATGAATGATTATAAGAATGATTCATTTAGTATACATAACTAATCAGAATGTTGATAGTAATACAGTGCAATAATATACTGTATTGTGCAAAACAACTACGTGCTGTGAAAAAATAGTGTACCTTCAAACACCACTTTTGGGATTTCTTACATTATCAGGTCCTTGATAATGTGAGAAATCATGAAAGCACTTGGAAGTTCGCTATTTTTTCACAGTGGTTGTTTTTGTATACAGTATTGTAATAACACATGTTTACTTTGCTTTTATTGCATACTGTATTGTATTTGGTCAGTGACAATCACTAGTATTGGTAGATACAATAGTACAGGTACAATATATGTATTTGGTCGCTGACAGTCACTAGTATTGGTACATAATACCATAATCCTGCAGTAGTTAAACTTACTAGATTCACAGCCTTTTAATAGTTATAAATACCCTTGAAGGATGTGCCTTTATGCTGGTGTGGGAATCTTGATCCAAGGAATTTGATCTATTCTCCCCTTCCTTGGATTGAACCTGATATACCCCATCCCCATTCCCCATTTGCTATATGACTCCTTTGGGTTTAGCATTTCTTCCTTATTAAAATACAGTAGGACCCCACTTATATGTAGGTTAGGTTCCAGGCTACTACCAGAAAGTGGAACACCATTTTTTCCATTTATAAATACATATAAATGCCAGATAACAATAAATTTTGGAAAGTTTCCAGACATAATTGAGAGACGTGGTGCTCACAGAAAATGTAAACAAACCGGGTGGGGTGCAGTGACCGTATTAGAAAGTCAGGTGGGGGAGCCATATAGCGAGTTTTGGTCATAATTTGAAATGTCCGTATTAGTGGAATACCATAAAACGGGGCCCTACTGTAGTAGTAAAAGTTGTCAGTAAGCTCAGTCAACCCTAATTATTAGTGATCATGATCAACTCATTAGCTGATGTTTTATTGGTGACACTTCTAACAATTTTTTTTTTTTTCAACAAACCGCTGTATCCCACAGAGGCAGGGGGGCCCAAAAAGAAAATTGAAGGTTTCTCTTTTTAATTTTAGTAATTTATATAGGAGAAGGGATTACTAGCCCCTTGTTCCCAGCATTTTAGTCACCTTTACAACACGCATGGCTTACGGAGGAAGAATTCTGTTCTACTTTCCCATGAAGATAAGAGGAAATAAACAAGAACAAGAACTAGAAAGAAAATAGAAGAAAACCCAGAGGGGTGTGTATATATATATGCTTGTACATGTATATGTAGTGTGACCTAAGTGTAAGTAGAAGTAGCAAGACGTACCTGAAATTTTGCACGTTTATGAGACAGAAAAAAGGACACCAGCAATCCTACCATCATGTAAAACAATTGCAGGTTTTCGTTTTACACTCACTTGGCAGGACGATAGTACGTTAAATAAATAGACATGCAATGCTATGATATTTATTGCAGCTGTGTTTCATCAGGAGCTATATCAAGCTAATATATATTGGAATATGGTTTTAAAGGGAGAGAGTGAGGTGTCTGGAGTGGTTATGTGAAGACTTATCATTTGCTCTACTTTACAAAATTCGTGAATTAGATATAAAAAAAATAAATATGAAATAGGTGTTAGCATCTTTCAACCAGGTTAATGGCATATTCAGTTAAAATTTAAAAAATATTGATATGGATATGGCTGTTGTAGATGTAGTAGTAATGCTAAGATAAAAGAATAAGTGAACCTTCTAACTGATTAGTAGAGGGGGGAGGGGGTGTATGATATTGTCGATTGTCTGAAATTTCCGAATTATGAAATTAATTTTTCATGATTGTCTAGTTCTCTTCTGAACTAGTGGACTTGGTCCAATACTTCAGAAGAGAACAGGATGCTTAAGAATACAGGTATTGTAATCGGTAGTACTACGGTGCTGTGCTGTATAGTAATTTTATAGCACTGTACATAGTTTACATTAGTTTTACTTACCTTTTTGTGGTGGAAAGATGTGTAAACTGCTGTGATTGATTGTGGTGACTTAGAGTAGCTTATTTTGTGTTGGAGGAGCTGTAAGGCTCTACTAGTGAAAATGTAGATAGCTTCTATGGATATCAAACATTGTTTCTTATCACCATATTCCTCACATACCAATGCCACTGAGATGCCAGAGCCAACCTTTTTTATTAATTTTTCTGCTTAACACTGAGAACATCATGTTTCCTCCTGGCACCACCACTTGTTTTAGAAGCCAGTGTTAATTACACTTTGCTTAATACATTAATAATCACAAAAAACACTAAATCCAGGTAAAATTAAAGACTGAATGACAAGTGTGTGTTTCAGAGAACAAACAGTAAACTGGCAAGGATGACCTACAGTTCAGGAACGATGAAAACACAGGTCCTGGACATGGCCACCTTGGCCTGTACTGGATAAATGTCAAAGCCATTGAACATAGTCCAGTACTTCAGAAGACAAGTGGATATTATTGCTACAGATAAAATCTGTATTTTTGTCCATTTTATCCAGTGCTTCGTGTTTGTCTGGCTAATTTTTTGTCCAAAATTGCCAAAATCCACTAACAAGAGGTGCTATATTTTGCAATTATTGGAACAGTTTAATAAGCAGTATTTTATAATTAAGAAGACTCGGGGTAATAGCTTGCAAAGCCAACTTGAAATACATATAGGAATAGTTTTACAGATGTTAAAAAGCATTCTCTGTAAAATAGGTAATCTCTGTTGTACAGTAATGTATAGGACTTTAATTTACTGTACTTATATATGCTGTATATATTTAGGTGACGGATTTAACCCGAATGGATGGCAGTGAAGATGATAAGATTAATGCTATGGTTGCACAATCAACAATGGCTTACCATCCATCAAAGTAAGTTCTGTAGGTCATAGTATATGGCTTATCATCCATCAAAGTTAGTTTTTTTTTTATTTTTTATTAACACATTGGGCAGCATGACCCAGAAAAGAAGAAACACTTTCATCATCATTCACTCAATCACTGTCTTGCCAGAGGCACTCCTACACTACAGTTAAAAAACTTCAACATAACTCTCCTCCTTCAGAGTGTAGGCACTGTACTTCCCACCTTCAGGACTCAAGTCTGGCTAACTGGTTTCCCTGAATCCCTTTAGAAATGTTACTTTGCTCACACTCCAACAGCATGTCTTGTTGCAAAAACCATTCATCTCCACGTACTCTAATCTAACACACTTATGCCTGTGTGCTGGAAGTCCAAGCCCCTTGCACACAAAACCTCCTTTACCCCCTCCTTCCAACTTTCCTAGGCTGACTCTTGCCCTGCCTTCCTTTCCTTTATGTGCCCTTCATTCTATTTCGTTCCATCCTTAAATGTCCAGACCACCTCAACAGCCCTTCCTCTGCTTTCCAGATAATACTTTTAGAAACCCGACATCACCTCCCAATCTCCAAGCTACGGATTCTCTACATTAGATTCACACCACATATTGCCCTCAGATACGACATCTCCATTACCTCCAGCCTTCTTGTTGCAACATTCACCACCCATGTTTCATGCCTACATAAGAGTGTTGGCACCACTATACTCTCATACATTTCCCTCTTTGCTTCCATGGATAACATTCTTTGTCTCCACAGACTCCTTTGTGCTCCACTCACCTTTTTCCCCTCATCAATTCTGTAATTCACCTTGTCTTTCATAGACTTATTTGCTGACAAGTGCACTCCCAAATATGTGAATACATTCACTTCCTTCATACTCCTTTCCTCCAATCTGATATCCAGTCTTTCATTACCTAAATTTTTTGTTATTCTTATCACTTGTAGGCCATAATTTATAGTTATCATCCATGAAAGTACAGTACAGCACTGTGGGTCACAGTATATTGCTTATCATCCATCATAGTACTGTGGGTCACAGTATATTGCTTATCATCCATCATAGTACTGTGGGTCACAGTATATGGCTTATCCATCAAAGTATTGTAGGTCAGTATATGGCTCAAAATTCATCACTACTGTAGGTTACAGTATATGGCTCATCCATCACAGTGCTGTAGGTCACAGTATATGGCTCATCCATCACAGTACTGTAGGTCACAGTATATGGTTTATCCATTACAGTACTGTAGGTTACAGTATATGACTCATCCATCACAGTACTGTAGGTCACAGTATATGGCTCATCCATCACAGTACTGTAGATCACAGTACAGTATATGGCTTATCCATCACAGTATCTGGCTCATCCATCACAGTATCTGGCTCATCCATCACAGTACTGTAGGTCACAGTATATAGCTTATCCATCACAGTACTGTAGGTCACAGTATATAGCTTATCCATCTCAGTACTGTAGGTCACAGTATATGGCTTATCCATCATAGTACTGTGGGTCACAGTGTATGGCTTATCCATCACAGTACTATAGGTCACTATATGGCTTATCATCCATCATGGTATACATTACAGTCAGAACCACTGTTTAAAAAGGAAGTTTTCAGGCACTGTAGTTTTATTTAATACCTGGAGTATACTTGGAGAGAGTTTCGGTGGCCAATGCCCCTGCGGCCTGGTCTGTACTGTATGAACATGAAAGGTGTCGTATTTTTTATATGCAATAAGTTTAAAATCTATTGGGCAAGCAACAAGCCAAATCTTGGCCTTCTCTGAGAAAATTGAGAATGTCATCAAGAGGGCTACTCTTCTGACTTCATAAACTCTTCCTTTTCATGTGCTAAATAAACTTTCCTCTATCCCAAACTACTGTGAAATCTGTTTTCTACCTTCCTTATATTTCCAGTCTTTTTGATCTCAACAACTCTCTCCATTACTTAGACATCAAATTTACTTTTCGCCAAACTAACACCCTTCAAAGTACATAATTTAGTTCATACTTCTGCTATGGATGCCCCTAATGTCTACACTATTTCATGCTCGTCTTGTCCTCTCCAATACGTACTTTGGAGAGACTGGCCACTCTCTTTCTGACAGACTCAAAGAACACAAAAAAGTGTTAGGTTTATCAACACCAATAATACTCTTTTTCTGCCATGTTAGAGATCACAGTCATCTATCCTACTGACTGGTTCTCTGCTAAAACTGTCTCCCCTACTTCTAGCATCTCTTATACACAACTTTCCTTGTATGAATCTTAGTCCTGGCTTTGTTTCTGAAGATGCCTTCCTTTCTCACTGCACTGTCAATTTTCCAACCCTTAGAACACTCATAATTTGACCTGATCCTTTCTTCTCCTTTCCAGTTTTTTCCTATTTTTATTTGTTTTCCTCTCTTCTCCCTTTGTGTGTTCTGTCCTTCAGTTTTCCACCCTCGTGTGTTTTTGGTCCTACCCCTTGTGTGCCCTTAGCTCTCCTGCAGGGCTTCTTTTTTTTTATGTCTTTAGACTGATGCCACTTCTACTACTACTATGCCTACCACTCCATTTCTACTATTATTGCCATTACCATTACTTCTGTGCCTCCCTTCACCCTCCATTCCCTTTTCTTCTTGTGCCACTAAACTGCTCTCCCTACTTTCTACTACCACTATTACTTCTACTACTACTTCCACTACCATCCTTATCACTACCACTACTACTACTACTTTTTCTTCCTCTCTTGGTCCTGTTCTTGTCTCCCCTCGCCTATAAATACTGGTCTCCCTCACTCTTTTGCGTTAGTGTGATTTTGTAAATGGTCCAAGGACCAAAACGTCATCATAAGCCTCTCTCTTCTATTTGCAGGTTATTTGTGTATTGTTCAGTCACAATGTATTTGTGCCCTTTTGTTCTTAGTGGTACCAACACTTTTTATGTGTGTGTGATGCATGAGTTTTAAATGCTGCAATGAAAAGGAGGTTAGAATCAGTGGAGATGTCATGTTTGAGAGCAACATGAGGTGTGAATATCATGCAAAGAATTTGGAGTGTAGAAATGAAAATGCTCTGTGGGGTGATGAAGGGTATAATTTAGAGAGCTGAGAAGGTGATTTTTGCATGTAAAGAGGATGGATAGGGATAGGTTAACAAAGAGGGTGTATGAATCTGTTGTGGAAGATAGCAGGTTTTAGGGGTTTGAGCATCCATCAGGTTTGTTTGTGTGTGTGTGTGTGTGTGTGTGTGTTTGTTTGTTTGTTTGTTTTAGATTGGAGTGAATGGAGAAAAGTAATTTTTAATGGAAGTGCTGTTGGAGAATGAGCAAAGTAACTTTAATGAAGGGATTCAGGAACACTTTCATAAAAGTTAGCTAGAACTCAAATCCAGGTAACTGGGCTCTGGAGGTGGGAAGGATAGTGCCTGCATTCTGGAGGAAGGGTGGAGATGTTGCAGTTGAGGGGTAATCTGATTTGTGATGTCAGCATACTTCTGGAAAGACTGTAATTTAATGAATGCCAGTGAATGTGTTTTCTTCATTGGGTCACTGTCTTGGCAAAAAATGGCCCTCGAGTAAAAAAATACATATACATATATTTACATGCATGCAAACTTATGTATTTGTAAATGAACATTTGATAATACATGTACTTTATAAAGTGGTAATTCATTTAATGATGCATGATAAAAATATTTAGACATAATTCAAAGTTGAACATATAACTCATGACAATTTTCCCCAGGTACGTAAAACTTAGGGTCAGCAGAATGATGGGGTCTGTGCCTTTGGATTATAAGTGCTACAAATGTCATCAAGGTGGTCACTGGGTCAGCATGTGTCCGCTTAATAATGTAAGTGCAGACTTGTTTGTAACTCTGTAACCTTTTAATATGATACAAGTTTTATTTTATTTTTTGTTTATTGTTTTTCAATTTCTTAGATATTTCTCATTACTGTGTTCACTTTAATGGCACGTTTAAGACTACAGTAATTTTGCATTGTTACAGATAGATTCTGCTAAACATTCTTTCCTTATATAATGCTGGGTTAGCCTAAATACAGAGACACTTTGTTTCTGTATTTGCCTTGATTCTGCATGAGAAGATGTTCACACTATACAGTCTTTCATTTTATGGTATTAGAACTTTATGAGACATTTTATAAATGCTTGAAATTCAGCCATTAACATTATTAAACAAACAATACAAAAGTCATATTAGATAAATTGTTGCAAAAACTTAGGAAATCTTTTCTATTTCAGCAAGACCTGCGCAAGAGCACTGGCATCCCATCCAAGTTTTTAGTGGAAGTCAATGACCCCAATGCTCCAGGTGTCATGATCAATGCATCAGGAAAATTAGTTCGCTTGCTGGATTTGTAAGTGTTAGTGTGTGGCTGTGTGCCAAGTGCTGGAAAACAGACATGAATAACAAAAATGAGACCTTTTATTATTAAGGTCTCACCTACAGTAAACTTAATCAAGTACAGAAAGTATGCAAAACTTTGACATAGATAATACTGATAATGAAGATGCATCAGGTTTGAGAGAGGTCAGGCACAGGTTAGGTATGTGCCACCTGAGGTCAGGTGATGTTAAATGTCTGAGCTGGGGGAAGGTTAGGTCCTTGTAAACTGTGCTTGGAGAGCAATAGTATGGAATACTGAGAAGATGAAAGAGAATAGCCAAAATGCTGTGTAACACTATCTTTCATTGATGATGTTTTGCCCACAGTGAGGTTTATCAACTCACAAAGATGATTATTAAGTCACACACACATCTGTTTGTGACTTAAGACTTAATAAAACCCTCTGCATGGATGAGACATTGTTAAATCATATCATTCTGCATTTGTCTATTTTTTTCTGTCTTGAGTTCATCCAAATATTGTTTTTCACATTAAAAAAAAGTCCTCTAATTGCGTGATGGTGTCAGTGTCTGTGGCAAACTTCCTGTACTTGATAAAGCCTACTACTACCACTATTACCACCACCTGCCTATA